TTTCCCTATGACAGAACTCCTAAACTTTTGTCTGAAGCTCATCAAGGACACAGAAAATTCTAGAAGGTTCCGTGAGTCGGTGGTTTCCAGGCCCGTGGGAAAAGGGCAGGATGTGGGATGGTAGGGACAGCTGTGCCAGCGTCTGGCAGTAAACAGATCAGTACTTCAGCTTCACGTCTGGTAAAACCGAGAGAGCTTTAAACTGATGTCACTCCCCTGCGCTGTTCTGAAGTAGGCAGCCTGTTTCTAAAAACAAAAATAGAAAACACACAAAACTTTCCACCGCCAAGCCACGCGTGCAGACACGGGAGTTCTAGGGCTGCCCCCCTCCCCAGCTGGGATCCAGCGGCGCCACCTCAGCCTGGATCCCAGGGTGCGGGCCCTTGAGGGGCGTGTATGAGCACACACGTGTGCGTGCATGTGTGACACACTCCCCAGACTGCCAACAGCTTCCTGCCTTATCAGCGGAGCTGCTCTTGTTAAGGCGTTACTGCCACAGCTTGCCTTTCCCACACCGCCTCCTGGATGCTTCAAGGACTCCGGTGACCCGGAGAAGTCAGCCACCGGTCCCCTAAGACATCAGTTCTGCTATTGCGTCCCCTGTCCCCCTCGCCCACGGGCTCGTGGCCACAGAGGGGCCTGAGTGGGGAGGTGATGCCAGACCAAGCCCCGTCAGGGTTCCCTGGGACGTGGGGGCGGGGCCCGTTGGGGGAGGGGCGGCCTGGGCTGAGGTCCACCCTGCCAGGTTCTGATTCAGTGGCGTCTCACACTCCTGGAGCCTGTCTTGGTCCCCTCTTCCCCCCTTACCTCACCGCCACCCTGGCTCTGAACACGAGAAGGAAGTGGCATGTCACCCGATGCCGTCCCCAGGCCCAGCTCCCTCGCCCACACGTGCTGCCCAGCTGTGGCCACACACAGAATTCAGCGGCTCCCACTGACCCCCAGACCTCGAGAGAGTGCCTGGCGGCCAAGGAGGGGCCAGGCCAGGCCGGCCTCCTCCAGACCCCGCAGGTGGGCGGTGGGTCGTGCTCCCACAGCAGTGCTCCAACATGCTCCCACTCCGATATCTGCCTCCAGGCTCCATCCCTCCCAGCAGCCACGTGCTGCTGCCGGGATTTCTCTGGGTGTTTGTACGTTTCTGGAAGGACAGTGCACCAGAGACAAAGCCACTTCCCCATTCAAGCCCCACCTCCTGCTCCCTTCATGCTGAGGCAGGGACACCCCTGCAGGGGTCCCCGTTCTCTCTCCTCCCAGTGCCCTGAGCCCCGAGAGGCCTGGTCCCCAGAGGGTGGGGCCACAAGGTCATGTATCTGGGAGGTGGACAGCAGAGGAGGTGGACGTGGCTGGTGGGTCGTGGATTCCTTTCTTTGTAGCCTGACGGGAGCGAGGGGCTGAAGCCGCCAGCTCTGGGTCCATTCATTCCCTCCACTGGCCCAACACCAGAGGAACAGAAGGCAAGGGACCCACCCAGTGTCCTTGTCACCTGGGCTCAGGGCCCGCAGCCTGACGCATTTGCTGGGGGTGCCAGGAGGAAGGCACGTCCCTGCTGGATTGTCCCTGGTCGCCAGAGGACTCAGAGTTAAGGCACTCCCGATCCGCACAGAATGGCTCCCTGGGAAGTGTCACGGCACCCACACAGCCCCCCGCTGAGGAAGGGGAGACGGCCCACAATGAGAGGGCCTCATCCAGAGCCACAGGCCCCGTGGGACGCAGGGAGGCACAGCGCGGGGCGCGGTCCTTGTGTCCTGGTCCTCTCTCGGCTTTCTCTTGACCGCAGCCGCGAGGACATCAGCAACTCTCTACTCTGGGAGAGTCTCTGGCGAGAGTGCGGAGCCCGTCGATCTGGGCCTCTGCTCCCCAGGCGGTTCCGCGCCCCCTCGGGATGGAGGAGGCGGCTCCGCGCCCCTCGGGGACGGAGCGGGGCTGAAGGGAGGCCGAGGCGCCGTCTGGGCTGGAGCTGGTTTGGAAAACGCAAAGCGATGCCTTGCGCTTCTCCCGCTCGCGTCTCCTCCGCCGGCTCCTCCGATGCCCAGCCCGAGGTTCCGGCCCAGGCCTGGGACCGGCGGGTGGCGTAGCGAGCAGTCCGAGCGAGACCCGGGCGTGGCGGAGGGAACGGCTGCCTACGCTCCTCTAACGGACCCGGGCCGGAGCACTCGCCCTAACCACCGTCACCTTGGGCGATGCAAACAAATCATCCCATTATTTTCAGTCTCCGGAGTGAACTGATCCCACTGCTGCCTCAGCACCCTCTCTGCCCTGCCCCTGCCCCTGCCCCTGCCCCTGCCCCTGGCGGCTCTGGCCATAGGCTCACCGCTCTGCGGTACAGGGAAGATAAGGGCCTTGGTGATGTTCTGTCACGGGACAGAAAACCCAGCAGGCAGCCATTTAACCCGTAAGGACATCAGGGTTCACGTAACGTGAAGTCTAGCGGTGGGTGGTGCTGGGTCGAGTCAGCAGCTCAGGGAAAGTCAGGGCTCTAGTTCTCCGGCCTTTCCTCATTAGCCCAGAAAGGCTGCCTGAAGCACCACATCACGCCCTCATCCTGCACGACATCCAAAGGCAGGCCACAGGGGCCGGTCAGGGTGGCCAGAAGGAGATGTCTTCCTCCAGGGCCTCCGAGTAGACGCCGCATGGGCTGGAATGGAGCTGCATGGCCACTTCCAGCTGAGGGAGAGGCTGGGAAAGTGAGCCCCTCCCCCGGCAGACAGGTAAGGAAGACGGGATGAAATGGATGGCCGGTTCTGGGAGACGAGTCTACCACAGCAAGTTGTCACGAGGGAAAGCCAGCCTCCCTGCGACGAAGGAGGGGAGGGGAGGGCACAGGGACAGAGCCAGCTGGACGCCTGAGCGTGCCGGGGCCTCGCTCCACGCACAGGCCAGCGCAAGCCCCAGGACGCCCGTAGCCCCGGGGGCTTCCTCCGTCCGCAGCCACAGGGCACCCGAGCCCCCCGCAGCTGGAGCGATGGCGGGGAGCAGGAAGCGGAGGGGGCACAGGGCTGCGCGCTGCTTCCGCAGGGCCCGTTCCCTCCGGAAGGCGCGTCTAGAACACACTGCATTTCAAAACGGATCGGACTAAACAACGTTTCCTTTTGCCCGGCGCTGGCAGGCAGAGATCGTGAGAGGTGGACAAAGAAAGAAGCAAAATTTCTCCAGTGAGGAAAAGCCACGCTGATGCCTGCAGCACACGGACACGGCACGCGCTGCTGCACACGCGTGTGCCTGGGGTTCCCGCCCCGACGTCCCCGCCCGTGGGGGGCCCTGGCCCCTGGGCCTCTGCACCCGTGTGCCTTGGTGGCCAAGGGTCGGGGGTGTGATTGATCTGACTGGCAAATTTGGAAAAAAACTGGTCACACAAAGCTCAGCGCCCCTTTTTCCTCTACGGAACCAGCGAGCTGTGGAGGGCGGAGGGTCGCCCTGCTCCTGGGACCCCACAAACAGTTGTGCAGGTTACACCCAGGGCAAGGCGCCTGAGGACGGGGAGCCAGTTCGGGGGGAGCAGCGGCTCGCTTAGCTGAGCCCCAGGGAGGATGACAGCCTGGGGCAGACAGCCTCTTCTCGCTGTCACTGCAGCGCTGGGGGCCAGGGTCCCCCATGGCTGCTCAGGCTGCACGGCTGGCCCAGATGGGCGTCTGCTCAGTGCCGGGCGTGGCTGGCACATCCAGCTGGCTCTTGTCGCTGATAAGGTGACATGTGGCCTCCTATCCTTCCCTCTGGGGTGGGGGTGGGGGGTTCCTCAAGGTGTTAACCCATGCCAGGCTCTGCCACTTTGCTGTGATTCACACTTTCAGAGGCTTTGCTGTGGGTTTTTTTTTTCCTAAGCCAGTTTCCCCCGGGGGAAAGGAAGTGGCTGAGCAGCAGTTTTCATTACTGACAGCGGGCCACCCACAGTGAATATTTAAAGAACATTAGTGGATTTGGGGCCTATTTTCATGATTTGACAAGGGAGGGGCTTCCAGTCGCGTCTTGAAGACTTTGCAATGAAATGGCCTCGTGCACACCCCGGCTGCTAGGGCCACCCGGTCAACTCCACCCGGTCAACTCTGCCCGGGCAACTCCGCCCAGTCAACTCCGCCCGGTCAACTCCGCCCGGTCAACTCCGGCAGCCTCGTTGCCACTTCCTTCCGTCATCTACCGCCTCCTGTGTCACCTGAGAGAGTGCGAGTTAATGTACGCTCCGTGACGAAAAGACCAGAGGCGGAAATAGGGCACTTCTCTTTGAAAGAAAGGAAAATCGTTTCTATTTTTATAAGGAACTGCGGGTGCAGAGGGAAATTCATCTCTTCATTTTTAGCCCAATTTCAAGCATGAATATCAGAGCGATCGATCCATGCAGTAGTGAGCTGAGGCACAGACGCAGAAGGTCCCCACGATGTCTGGCCGGTGACGGTGACGGTGACGGGGTGGGGGGCAGGGCCATTCCGAGTCGAGACCCCCAGCGGGAGGACATCTAAAACTCGCACTCGTCCGGATCGTCTGGACCGGGGAGGTGGGGGAGGAGAGACGGGTTAGTGAGGATGAAGTTTCTTTCACTCTTAAGCGATTACAGAGGATTCGACTGGACGGAGCCAACGGGAAAGTCCTCAGCACACACTATTCTGTCCTTCCTGTCACTCTTGCCCGAAGCAAGCAATTTGCCAAGGACGGTTCTTCACAGACCGCTGGTTGGAGATGTGAAGAAAAGGCAGGAAAGACAAAGGCTGGTTCGCCCCACGGCCCCTGAGCCCTGCCTTCCGCCCGCAGACCTGCATTCGGCCCGAGTTAGGCCAAGCCCCTCCTTCGCCGTCAACTCCGCGGCCACCATTCTGGAAAGTACGCAGCTGGAGAGTGGGCTCGGGCCCCGAGTCCCCGCGTGGTCCTCTCCCTGATCCCGCGTCCGCGGACCCCACGGCGCTGTCACCACACGTACCTTCGGGAGCCTTTCTGCTGGCGGGGTAGAAGCACCACGGGACCCCGCGGGTGGCGCTGTTGAAGCAGCAGCCTTTGTCGTGACACGCCCGGGCCGTGATGCCGGGAAAGCCGCAGTTCTTCCTTTCGGTGGGGGTGACCTCGCACGTCTCTGGGAGGGCACGGGGCGAGGGGCTGGGTGAGTGGTGGGCTGGCACCCCCACCATCATCATCCACCCTCCAGCCAGCCTCCCTCTCCGCCCGGGTCAGCCACCAGCCGGCGTGGCTGCTGTGGACCCAGGGCTCGGGGTCCACCAGGGGGACCCCGTCCTCATTTTCTGATGCGAACACGTGTCCCCTCAGGAAAAATGCGAGGGGCCCGGGGTTTGTAAACTTCGCACCTACTCATAATTTATTCATTCACTCTTTAATTTCAACAAACAATTAATAAAGTCATTCGCTCTATCAATATATAACTACCGAGCACCAGTCACGTGGGGCAGAAACAGGAGCCGGCAGAGCAGGACGGCGCAGCATCCCCGGGTACCGAGCTCACGCCAGGCTCTGTGCTGAGTGACGGGGACCCAGAAATTAAAAACGAAGGAGTAGTTGTTAAGAGGCCAGCAGTGTAAGGGAGGAGAAAGCCAAGTGCAGATAACAGCACAGAGCGACCATCCCAGTGCGCGGGAGGGGCAGGGGACCATGCGGTGAACTAAGCAAGGAGGGCTTCCTGTAGGAGAGGGTTCATCACATGAGGAGGAGACGAAGCGCGTTCCAAGCAGAGGGAGCCGCGTGCTCAGTGGTCAAGAGCGAGCGAGGCGTGCGCCAGGAGTCAGCCCACTGGGAGGCACGGAGCAGAGGCCGGGGCGGGGCGTCTGAGAGAGACGGATTTAACCAGGGGGTGCTGAAATCACCCCAAAGGAAAGAACGCAGGGTGGGGGTGAGGCGGGGCCAGCCGGCAGCTCCCGCGTGGTGGGGCCTGCGTTCAGGGCCGGAGCCCAGGGCTCTGAGAAGGAAAACTAGGATGCGGGGGTTGGCGGGCGGGGCAGGCCGCGAAAGGGGACTCTGGATCCAGTCCCTGTCTTCGTCTTGGGTTGGGGCCACGGGAGAGCGAGGCGCTCCGTTCTGTCACATGGGCTCGGAGGTGCTCCTGGCTGTGTGTTCAGGTGGGGCCTGGCGGGCAGAAGCTCCACCCATTCCTGGGCAGGCGAGAGAGAAGGGGGACTTGGGAGGGGGGCCTTGGGAGCTTCGGTAGTAAAGGGACAGAGAAGGGAGGAGCCTGAGCAGAAGGGGAAGGAGAGGCAGGGAGACAGGTGGGCCGGGATTCGGGGCAGAGGCGGTCACAGCTGGCCTTGGCCTAGGGCATCAGGTTCTCTGAAAGACAGTGCACCCAGGGACAGGCCGCTGCGGAAGCAGCTCTCCTAGGCCGAGGGGCAGGGCGCCCGCGGTGACTCCTTTGTGAAACCCAGCGGAGCGTTCTAGCAATAAGAAGTAGCGTTTAGCACTTTGTAGCGTGCAAAGCACTTCCGCAAACCTCGTCACACTTAACTTTCTTGGCAGCCCTCTAAGGCAGACCACTGATCCCACTCTGCAGATAAAGGCATTGAGGCACGAACAAATTCAGAGGAAGCCATCGTGCCGTCTCTCATTCGGTGACGCCCACGGGACAGGTGCTTTGGGCTCCGCAGAGCTCGGAGCCCGGGAGAGCCCACCCACCTGCCAGAGCGCTTCTCCAGGGACGTCCCCCCCCACCCCGGGGTAGGCACTTGGACGCGTGTGTGTGTCTGCGTGGTCCACCCCCAGGGTAGAGTGTGCTTGGACATTTGGGAGAGCAATTCTTACGTGCCACATTGAAGCTTGCCCTTAAAGCATGATACTCCAGAACAGCATTCTGGAAGACGGCAGCCATGTCCTCACAGCACTTCTCAGAACTTCCACTGGCCCTCCCGCCCGCTGCTGCCTTCCAGAATAGCCTAGAATAGCGCCTGGCACCAAACAGCTTGGCCCCAAAACATGCAAAGACTCTCCTGGAGGCCATCTCTCCCCCCGTGCCCCCCGTGAAGCAGGGCGGGGGCTGACTTACCGGCCTGGCCCTGAACCAGGGTGCTGAGGGCCAGTGACAGGGCCAGAACCACAACGCAGATCGCCTTGTGCTCCATGGCGGCCGTGACCTTGTCCTCTCGGCTCCCAGGGAGGCTGCAAGTCAGGGGTGAGAGTCCGGCTGGGCCCGCGATTTTAAACCCGGCTCTGTTTGCCGAAGGAGGCCCCGAGTCCTCACTCCGAGTAATCTGCACTGATTACGCGTGTCCCCAGGCGTGGGCAAGGCCCGCGGACCGTCCGCTGATAGAGAAGCCCCGCATCAGTCACCTCGGTGGCCGGGTGGGGATTCGGAACGTCCCGCTGTTATCCGTGGGAGTCTCCTCAGTCATGGCCGAGTCCAGGCCCCAACCGTATCGCCAGGCCCTCCTGCTAATGTCAACAGCACAGTCACCGGAGAGTAATTCGCAGCGGAAGATGCCCCGAGAAAGGAGCTGTTGTGTCAGCAGTGGCTCCGGGGTCCCCGCCATGCGACTCAGGAGCAGGAGCCGATGAGGCCCCCGCCTGCCTTGTCCTTCCCACGTGGTGCGCCCAGTTTTCTACTAGGCTGAGCATCCAAGTTGGGGGTGGGGGTGGGGGTGGGGTCTGTGCCTGGACAGGGAGAGCGGGCGAGCGACAGGCCGGCTCCCTTGCCCTCTCCCCAGGGTTTCGGTGTCATCCTGTTGGACATTCCCATGCAAATCCGTGTGTCAGCAGAGAGCCACCTCAGGTGCCACCGAGGGAGCACGGCCTGTCCGGGACTCCCGGTCCGCTGGGCCCCGACGCTGAGCACTCGCGGAGGAGGTGCACACCCAACGCACAGGCGCTGAGCGAGCCTCCTTACTGCTCTAAATTAATTTCTTTCTCTTTCCTTTCCTTGTTCCTTTTAAAAGTGCAGCTGTGTATACCAGAGCCGACACAGAGGCTGGTGGAGGCGCATTTCCCTCCGGGGGGCCCCCTCCCCACACCTGTGGGGCCACTTGCTCCGGTCCCCCCAGTGAGGACCCCTGGACACTGTCCTCACAAGGCCACCTCCAGCCCCAGCTTCCCTGGTCGCCTGCCCTGTCCGGCTCTCCCTCTTTCCCAGCCCTTATCGTCCCCGAGGGTACAAAGTGACTCGCTCACGCACTGTGTTTAGGATTCATCGTCCCTCCCCCAGTAGGATGGGACCATGACACGGAGCTTTGTCCACTTTGTGCACCCAGGTGGCCTCCGCACCATTGAATGGTGCCTTATTCAATAAACATCTGTTAAAGGTGAATGAATGAATACATGAATGAATGTGTGCATGGCTAAGTGACAGGAAGGATGTTTTTTCTTCAGCGAGAGATTAGGCTCCAAAGAACCTGACAATCACCTCGGAAAGGTGCTTCCTTCTCTGAGGTGACCCAGTAGGTCGTCCTGCAGCCCCTCTGGGCAGGGCCTGGATCAGAATGGGGCCACCACACTCCTGACCCCTCCTGGCCCAGGCCCCGGCCCCACCCTCCAGGGAGACTGATATGCAAATCCTGGGCGGGCCCAGGGCGTAAGAGGCTGGGGGGTGGGTTACCTGTGCCAGAGAAGGCGAGGCCACCGACCCTGGTGGTGCTCAGGACGATGGAGAACCAGCGCTCACTTCTCAGACCCGAATGGGACCTCTCAGAAACGGGGTGCACATGGTGCCACAATTTGGAAAAAAAGCGGGAGGTGCTGAGTGAAGCTGAAGCTACGCAGACTCCAACTCCGCATCGCCACCGGCTGTGGCCCTGGCGTCTGCCTCACACGTGGGCAGAAGGAAACAGACAAAGGTCACTTTCGAGGCATTGTGTGCAGCAGCTTTTTTAAAAAAGGAAAAATCGGAGAGGCTCGAACAGGAAAAAAGAGACAGGAAAGAAGAGAAAGAGGAAGAAAGGGAGGGAAGAAGGAAGGGAAGGAGGGAGGGAGGAAGGAGAGAAGGAGGGAGGGAGGAAGGAGGGAGGGAAGAAGGAAGGAAGGAGGGAGGAAGGAAGGAAGAAGAAAAATATTTATTAACAGGGTTGAAAGGAAGAAAGAACCTAAAGTATATTATACATACACATTGGACACCTTCCAGAAGATGGAAAGCAATGAATAAATGGAAATAAATAATAATAAAAATTAATAAATATTGAAAACAAAGTTACATCGAAAATAAATTCAGAATGATTCTTAAAATACGTAGATTTTCGAAATACATCAAACAAAGCAACGCACGGTTAAAACTGCACCCAGATGGATTAGAACAAGGACACAGGCAGGAAGGGGCCGGGCTGACCTCTGGCGACGGCCCCGGGAGCGTGCAGAGGGCCATCGACGTCTGCGCAACGCTGCGTAACGGCACCCAGGTGCGCGTCCAGTAGGTTACGGGGGAGACGCAGACGCGGTGTGTGTTCCCAGCTGCGTCTCTAACAGCCCAGCTCCTCCCTCCGGGGCACACGGGAGAGAACAGCCGGGCGGCCGGCTCCTCGCTCCGGGGTGCTGGGACTGCACAGCCCGCGGCGGTGAGGACGGTCAGGACGGTCACTGTACAGATGGCCTTTCAGACATCCGGTGGTAACCGCGAGAGCCCTGGTGGACAGCGCGGACACAGACCCCGCGGTAGCCTAACGAACCCCATTTTTTAAAATGACGGTTGGGGAGGAAGAAGATGCACCGAGTTGAGGGCTGGTCCCCTGGTGGTCTGTCGCCCCGTGCAAGGAATTTAACTCCTCCGGCCTTTTCTCCTCAACTGGAAAATAAAGTGGCTGGACCCCAGGCCTGGTTTCTGGTCCCCATCCCCTGCTCGTGTGCCCAGCACACTTCCTGCCTTCCTCCGCTTCCAGTTAGGGGTCTCCGTCCCCCACTCTCACCGTGTGGTTTGTTGGCTGGACCGTCCCACGCCCCAGAGCTGCAGGCTCAGTGCAGGGATGCGTGTCTGAAAGGTGGGGGCTGGGGTGCCTCTAGCTCGCTCTCCACCCCTCCCTGCCAGCCCTGGCTCCCGACTGCAGGGGGTGCACCCGCAGGAGACGGCTGCCTGGGAGGAAGTGAGCTCAGGCTTTATCTCCCGGGTCCCTCCCTACAGTGTCACCTTCAACCGACCACATCCCTGTGTCCAGCCTTCTCCACACAGTTGTCTTTCCTGGGTCTCCCCGTGAGGGACCCCTCTCCTCGCTCCTCCAGGCTGAGGGGTCCACTGGCCCCAAAGAGAGGCCAAAAGACATCTTAGGGACAGTGAAAAACTATCAATAACCCGAATTACCAATAATTACCAAAAACCCTTAACGAAGGTTGGTCACAGCTACGAGCTGAAACGCTGCCGCCATCACCAGCGTGGCCCTGTGACATGTGCGGCCGCATGGAGGATTTTCTTGCTCCAGGGATAAATCAAGAGGAAAAAGACAACGAAAGTTCCCAAACGACCCAGCAGAAGATAAAGGAGAGAGGGGCAGGTGCCCACACGTGGCCCCATGTGGCGACAGGGCCTGGGCCGTGGGACTCTGCCTTCCGACCCACTGAAAAGGCTCTGTGAGCGTGGTTCACTTTCATAATTGAAAAACACTGTGTTTAAAGCATAAAATGCAATGATTTTGCTCTCATCTCCCCCAGGTGGTGAGTCAGGGAGGCCGTGAGTCAGTCGTGGAGGGGCCTTGACCTTGGAGAGGTGCCCGCGGGCCGTGCCCGGCTGCCATGCTGGCCTGTGACCTATTTCTTCACACCTGCCCTGAAGTCAAACACAGGTGTGGGGGGCAGGGGCGCGGGCGAGCTGCCTGCTATCTCTCAGATTTCAGCAACAAGGCACGGCAAGGCCACCGACCCTGCCCATTGAGTCCTTGTCCCGCCCAGCAGATCCCAGCGGCCACCCAGGGCATGCCCACGAAGGCAACAGACACAACCCGGCCGGACGTGGTCGGAACAGGGACCCCCAGGCCTGTCCACACTCGCGCCCAGGGCCGCCCGCAGCTCTAGCTTCAGCTCCTTCTGGCTCAGCGTGGCAGCGCCAAGGCACTGTGGTCCCGTCCGTGATCAAGGCTCTAAAACCATCGCTAAGTCCTAAGTGTGACCCCTTCCCCCCCCTCCCCCCCGGGAACGTAAAACGGGGAGCGAGAGAGGGCGAATGGACGGCGAGCTCACCCTGCCCACCCGCTGGTACCCGAACCTCCAGCGCGAGCTCAGCTGGGCACAGCCGGGTCCGAACGAAGCCCTGCCCCTCCGCACGTGCGTCCAGAGTCACCTGCAGGCTCCTCGCCCGGCTCAGAGGGCCCGCGGTGAGTGCCGGCACGGTGCCTGCCCCGCTCGCCTGCGCCTCAGTCCCATAGTGAGGAGATGGGGCCGGCCCCCTCCCGTGATGCCCACTGCGTCCCCGCTCCCTCCCGCAGACCCTGCCCGGGGTCTTCCTCCTCAGGCCTCAGTGCTGCATCTCTGCTGATGGAGGGCTGCCAGGTCCAGCCCAGACCCCCTGCTCCCATGATGCACCACGCTCCCTCCGGCATCCACCCCGCCCCCGACAGGGGCCTTCGCTCAGCTTCAACCCACATCCACCGCGACGTAGGTGTGTGGGTAAAGTTTTATTTCAGGCACGAGGATCTTTTTTCTGGCCTGGACCGACAGGGAGCAGGGCCCACTCCTGCTGAGAAGACAAGGAGAACTATGTGGAAGTCACCCTTAACCAGCGCTTCCCAGGGGCGCGGGCCCCAGGGTCCGCCCTGCTCAAAGGCCCCTCCAGCCCGTCTGTCCCAGGGATCCCAGAGATGAGCGAGGCCCGAGGCGCGCTGAAGGGGCCGCAGTGCCCACGGGGCCAGCGATCAGCCACCCCCGACCCACAGGGAGACTTATTTACTGAACAAAGCCAGTGAATTCCATCACCTCTAAAGATCCGCGTTAAACTTTACATTACACTGTTCTGCACCTTTCATTCCCTCTTCATTTACTCCTCCTACAGTCGCTGAAGGCTGATCCGATTGCACGTCCGCCGATGGGTTATGATGTACGAAGGGTTACGGCTCTCAGGCCAAGTCCTGTCTCGGTGGTTGTGTCCTTGTCTGGTCTTCGTGTCCCTGCTGTGCAGTGCTTTCCGGAGGACAGAGGTCCTGACAACAGGTGTGGCTCTAGTCAGAGAGGGTGTGGAACAGGCCACCCCTCTGAGCTCGTCTTTGCCAGTGTTCCAGCTTCTCTGCCATTCGCACGGGCTGGAGACAAACCCAAACCATGTATGCCATCTTTACTGTTAGATTCGCTACTGGAAGTCGATGCAGAAACAGATGACGGAGATAGTCCCCCAAAGCAAGGATCCCACTTTCTCTTCCCAACAACCCTAAACTTCGGCCAAGGCTAAGTTAGAAGAGATTCGAGGTTCTCCTCATAGTGTTCTGTCTCTCTGTCTTCTGCATGCTTCTTCGACGGCGGGAGAGAGAGGTGGCCGTGTAGCTGTCGAGCGCGGCGTCGCACGGCCTGGGCTTCCCCCATACGCGCCTCGGATGCCCTCGTTTGTCTCACCGTCTGCTTTTCAATTCCTGCTTTGAAAAGGGGGTGTCCAGGGTCTCGAGTGTTTCGATGAGATGCTCAGACTGCTGCTCTGCACCTCACCCTAAGTCCTTTTCATTTCTCCACGTAAGGCTTCCGCATAAGAAAAGAGACATTTTAAAATTTGTAAGGGGAGAGTTACTTTCTGAGCCCCAGGCCTCGGCGGGCCTGGCCTTTCCTACCACAGTCTCCACGGAGGATGGTGTCACGGGGAGCCGAATGTGGTTCAGAGTAAAAATGAGGCGTGTATAATATCCTCACATTTTTATGACAATCACTTGGCTTACAAAAAAAATATTTTGCATTTAAAAATTTCAAAAGTATTACTCCCCACTGAACAACAAAGCCTCAAAATAGTTAAGGCCACAATTACAGTAGGAGACACCCAGACCTCACTGCCAGCCCAGCAACGGATGGGACTTCCAACAGAAAACCAACAAGGGTATAGAAGATCTTCACCACACGCCAATCGACAGGGTCTACCGGTATTCGTGGGACATTTCACCCAACTGTAGTGGAATACACACTTTCCTCAGTGCCCACGTAAATTTATCAACATAGTACGATAAATCTCAACAAATCTAAAAGATTTGACCACAATAGAATCAAGAGAGAAATCAATGGCGCACAACAGGAAAATCTCTAACCACGGCAAAATTAAATAACAGACTTCTAAATAAACCACAGGTCAAAAGGAAGTTTCAAAAGAAATTTTAAAATAGATGGGACCGAACGAAAACGAATACTCAACTATCAAAATTTGTGAGACTCAGCTAAAGCGATGCTGAGAGAGAGATTTCTTGCATTAACTTACATTAGAAATGGAGGAAGTTCTCAAATCGAAACCTAAGTTTTTACCTCAAATAATTAGAAAAATAAGAGCCAAATAAACCTGAAGCCTTGAGAAGGAAGAGAATGTTAAAGACAAGAACAGAAATGAATAAAATTGAAAATAAGAAAACAATAGAAAAAAATCAGGGAAATAAAAAGACAAGTTCTTTGGAAAAAATCAATAAAATCGACGCGTCTATAGCAAAACTGACAAAAGTAATGGAAAGAATATCAGAAATGAAACGGGATATCGCTACAGACATCTAAAGGGTAATAAAGCGGTATGATTAAGAACTTTATGCTGATAAATTTCACAACTTAGAAGAAATGGACTAATATCTCAAAAACCACAAACTGCCAAAAATCAATCAAGATGGAAGAGACGATCTGAATAACCCTGTAAACGTCAAAGAATTTGAATTTATAATTTTAAATATATATAAAAAAAAGACATTTCCACACCAGTTTTTAAAGAATTACCTCCGTTTTTGCACAATCTCTTCCAGAAAATAGAAGAGGTGAATATTTCCCCACTCACTTTATGAG